TCTTGCTCTCTGCCACGTGAAGACACAATGAGAAGTCAGCAGTCAGCAACCCGCAAGGGGGCCCTCACCAGAAACTGACCACGCTAGCACCCTGATCTTGGACTTCCAGCCTCTAAAACTGTGGGGAATATTTATATTCCTGTTGTTTACAAGCTCTGCAGTCTGTGGTACTTTGTCATAGCAATACGAACTTACTAAGACACATCCCAACCCCTTATTCCTGAGTGTGACTTGCAAGGCCCCACCCTTCATCACTGTGTGCCCCCCTCCACTACCCCGTGTAGCTTCTCCTCTGTTGTTTGGGATTCCTCAACACTCCCCACCACACTCTAGGCTTTCCACACTCCAGCACTTGCTTCTGTTGTGCCTTCTCTCCACTGGCCCTGTTGCCCATCCTGTCAGCAGGCAGTTGACACCTGTTTGCCTGTTGGTCTCCCTGAGGTGTAGGGGCACTCTCGGGCAGCAGGAATGTTCTTGAGCTTGCACAGAGCTTGGTACAGAGCCATTTGTTGAATCAGGCAAGTAACAGGCAACTCTTTTTTTTAAATGCCATCACTGTGCAGTAAATCATCAACATATTATCTCCCTTGGATGGAAATCCCCAGGCATAGGAGCAGTGTTACCGAGGCCCCTGGGGCTGGTTGGAAGAAGGGAAATGACTTACCTTGATCCTCCTCCATGGGCTAACGGGGCTGCACTCACCTGGTACCAGGCCTCCTCCCAGGAAAAGAGCCCTGCTTGCTGAAGAGGCAGAGCAGCTGGGGACACTAACACTGCCACCAAGCCAGGCTTGGCTTGTTCATGGCTCATTTTACTCTAAAACCTAGAAGTGTGTGTGCGAAGGGCACAATTTTGTAATTATAACCATATAATGTATAAATACAAATACAAATATAAATTACAAATATAGTTATAATGATAAGCATATAATTTATCATTATAATTTATTATTTATTATTGGCCAGATGTGTTACCTGGCCTTAAGAAAGCAAGGTTTGGAAATGCTAGGAACAAAACCACTCACTATCTCAAATTCTCATAATCTCAAATTTTTCTATTCAAAATAGCACATTGAAGACCAAGCCATTCTCAGTCTGCTCTTCACTTCTGATTCTAAGGTTATTCTGATTGCTCAGGACAATGCTGTCCGGAAGATCGCCCCCCAGCACGGGCCTCACAGGTCAGGGAGTGGGTGGGGCTGGAGTCAATTTGTCAAGAATTGTGCAGCATCAGGGCAGGTGTGGCTGGTCCTTTCTCCCCCACGCTCAAGAGCAACCAGCTCAGCATCACTGGAAAGGGGGAAGAAGGGCTGGGAGGGACTCCCTGCCTTTGGACCTGGCCACATTGGGGACTCCCACCACTCAGCATCCCATTGGCTCTGGGAATGCAGGGAGCCTGGGCCAGCATTTTCTGGTCTTGGATGTGCATTCTCAAAAACGTCAATCACCTCTTCAAGGAGATGACTTAATTAAGCACCTTATCCAGTGGTTCTCAACCCTAGTTGAGCATAGAACCATCTAGGGAGCTTTAAAAACTGCCATGGCCCAGCCCTACCCCCAGAGGTCCTGATTTAATTGGACTGAAGAAGGGCCTGTGCACTGGGACTTTTTACAACGTTCCTCAAGGAATTCTAATGTGCAGCCAGGCTGTCTAATCATGTCACCCAGCTCATTACAAATAGGCCCTGAGAATTCTTGTCCTTGTCCTCTAGGAGTTCACCATCTAGCCAGGAACACCTGGGTTTCTCTGGTGTCTGGGTAAAGATCCTGGGTGTCTGTGAGCTCCTTGAATATCAGTGGCTGAGGCTGGAGAGACTTCAAAGTCAAATGCAGAGCCAGCAGACTCTCCCCTCCTGTGCCCTCCCTCGGTCAGGGGGGTGTGTGTGTGTGCACACGTGTGTGTATGTATGTGTGTGCACACCTATGTGTGGGTACTTATTACCCACTGATGTGTCTTATACCAATAGTCCAGAGAAGAAAACTCAGAAGCCTTAGCGCAGACGCAGGGAGTGAACGCCCTTCACTCCCTTCAGGGAGGTGGCGGTGAGAGGTCCCAATGCTGTGTTGTGGGAGTGCTGGACGTAGGGCTGGACCACAGAGCAGAGGCCTCTTCTCAAGGGACTGGCACTACTCAGCCTTGGCCAACCTCACCATGAAGGGATGTGGGCCTGGCTTTACCACATCTCCCCAGTTTTCAAGAGAAATCTGAAATCTGGATTTTTCTGTTGAATTACTTGATTTTTCTTTGCTAGGCTCAATTTTATTAAAACACACACACACACACACACACACACACACAAAGTATAACAAAACAAATCTGTAGGCTGGAATGAGATCCAAGCACCCAGAGCTAGAGGCAAGAGTGCACCAATTTTCTTGTCTTCTGGACTAAAACTGGGCATTTCCACTCCTTGTTAGGGACCTGAAGTGTAATGCTGTGTGATTCCCTGTTCCTCTGTCTTGGCAAATACGCGCCGCCTGTTCAGAGGCTGTGGCTGGGACCAAGGCCCCGGGGACAGAGACAGCTGCCCTGGCACACATCAACTGCCATATAACGGGGTTACTTGCTACCTGCTGCCACTTCTGTAACACTGTGAGATGAAGTATTTGTTTCCTAGTGAAAGATAACCCACACAGGAGCCAGCTGCTAGTGCAGATGACAGAGGAGGAAAGCAAGGGAAAAAGGGTGGCTTTACTCAGAAGATGGGAATGTCAGATGGGGTAGAGCGAGCCAGGGTGCTCGTGGGGATCATCAGATCTGTGGGGGACGGTGCCACCATATGCTCTATTCGTAGACAATTACAAAGTGACAGGACTGGTTTGGCAAGTGCCTCTGCTGGAAATGGGTCATGGAGAGGCCAAACTTTAGAGAATGTGCCAAGCATGGGAGGGGGCTGGATCCAGGTTATAATGTACTCTGGCACTAGGGGGCAGGGGTGGTCATGAGCTCCCAGGATGTCTGCTGGGGACAGGCCCTTGGTCGTGTGTGTGTCTGTGTGTGGGCGCACTTGCACACCTGCAGGGAGCACAATTGCACGAGCAAGCCCGGAGGTATGTGGGGCTCACATACACGGGGACGCTGAGCTGCAGTTTGGGTGGGAGTGGCGGCACAGGGGCCTCCTTTCCTCAGCTCAACTCACTGGGCTTGGGAGTTCCCACTTTGAGTAGGCTGGGAGAGCCAGAAGTTCCCCTCGACCTGGAGATCCAAGCCCTTTCAGGTATTTGGCTCCCTCTCATTTCTTCAGTACTCAGCATCTTCCCAGAGGGCACTCCCCAATCACCCTCAATTATTGGGTCCCTTCTGCTCCCCTGCTGTAGCCCACCCGCTGCTCATCTCCACCCTCTGACGTCATCTGTTTCTTTGCTTGTGTGTCCTGTCTCTCCCTTAGAATGTGAGCTCTGATATGGCAGGGCCAGATTTCCTTATTCATGTCCTCGTAATAGTGCTGGGTGCATGAAAAAATGCCTCATAAATACCTGGGAAAAGGTGAGGGAATGAAAGGGCAAGAGATCTGGGAGGCCTCAAGGCCAGGTTCTTGGCTCTGGGAGGATCCTCCCCTCCCCGCTCCTCCTTGCAGTTTCCCATGGTCATCCCAGCTGCTGGGGCACCTCCACCTACCCCTCCATCTTCGCTGAGCCCATGTGTCTGCTCTGGGCTGTGTGGGAAGGAGCAGGCAGAGGCCCCGCCCGTCAAACGTCCATAGATCCCTGGGCAGGTGAGACCACAGGGCAGAGGAGCTCAAGTCCCAGTACTCAGGAGAGGGTCCTGGGCCCCTGGAATGGCATCCTCAGGCCAGGACATGAAGAGCTGAATTCTCAGAGGAGGCAGAGATGGGGGGAGTGGTTAAAGAGGGCTTCCTGGAGGGCCACTGTAAGCCAGATCCTGGAGAGGGTAAAGACGGGGAGGACATTGTTGGGGTGAGGGAAACCACATAAGTGAGGCTTGGAAGCCAAGATAAGGCAGATGCATCCAAGCTGGCAAGCTGGTGCTGAGATGGGGACTCCATGAGCCGGGAGAGGAAGAGTCCCCAGTTACTGGCTACCTGGCTCAGCTAGCACAGTGTGCACAGAAGGAAGTGACTTCCCCAAGGTCACAGCACAAAAACGATGAAGCTGGGACTCAAACCCAGGCTTCCTACACACAAAGCCACAAAGCCTTAATGCCACAGCCACAGGAAGCTGCCTCTGGCAAACAAAATGACTGAAAGCTGCCCGATGCAGAGCCCAGCCCTGAGGTCAGAGCTGGGAACATTGCCCCTGGGGGCAGGTGCAAGTTTGGTCTCTTGGTGGTCCTCAGGAAGGTTGTCTGCCCTTAAAAGTCTGGAGAGTGCCTCTTCCTCCAGGAAGCCTTCCCTTCCTACTCTACTCTCATCCACCCCGCTTCATGAGCTCCTTCTCACTTTATTATGCTGTACTACACGTCTCTGGGGATGAGACATATCAGCCTGGGCGCTGGGTCTTTGGAAATTGGCATAGTGCGTGCTGTTGGCTGGTACTGCTGAGTGAATGCTATGCCAGTCCTTACCCAGACCCTATACTGACTCTAACTCCTGAACTGCTACCAGCCCAGAGCCTGGCCTTACTTCACACTCACCTTCAGCAATTGGCACTGCTCCTTGATGACAATATACGTTCATCACAGTCACATCCAGCCCCACCTCCAGTCCACTTGGAAACTGGTGTTCCATTGGGTTTGCCCTCCCTGACCCTAAGCCCCTTTGCAGGGCCATCCCTTGGCTCTGGCAACAGGAGGCTGAGTTGTGTTTCCACCATTAAGGTCAGCTTTGCATGGACCCAGGACACAGGCACATTCTCTTGTCCAGGGCAGGCCTTTGCAAAATAGCTGCAGTTTGGGCTCAAGCAGGGACCACAAGTCAGATGAGACAAGAAATGTGTAAAGAGGGAGTCACGTGCCTGGCTTCTATGGGTCTGCGGACGGACCAGGCAGGCTGATGGAAGAAGCTCTCAGGGTCCCTCCCCAGACAACATTTAATACGCAGCTGAAGGACTGAATGACAAACTTTATTAGAAACGCTCCTCATTCATCAGTCAAATTCACATTAAGATGGGGGCAGTGGGGGGGTGGGTAGGGAGAGGCAGTGCTGTCTGGAGCTCTGATATCCCACCGCTGTGATGATTTCCAGTTAAAAATGAGTCTGGGCAGAGAGTGTCTGAAACATATAAGAGGTGGCGGCGGAGGCAGCAGCAGCATTCCTGCGAGAGGACCAGGCTCGGAGCGGGTGGAGAATGTGTCTCCCATATCCACCCTTCCAGTCACAAGGCCGCCCCCACAGACCTCAGCTGATAAATAAACAGCATATCACACACACATTTGAAACAGGAAACAGACTCGTACAAGTCTCCTGAAGTGAAAAAATAATTTCCTCAAATAAAGCTTTGTGACAGCCATGCTGCGCCCTGAATGGACGATGCCCAGAGACCCTGACACTCCAGGAAGGCCCCTCAACCCAGGACACATCAGACTTGGGTGTCACCATGCCCCCGGTTCCCCCGTTCCCCTGTTAGCACCTTTGGACTAAGTACTGTCCTCTCTGCATTCCTCTTTTAAAATGCAAATGCTACTTAAAATAATGGTAAGGATATGCTCTTCCCTGGGGCGAACCAGTCAGACTCCTCTTCCCTGAAGAGAGGTGTCTGGGCATCCAGAGAACTGTGAGTCAGTGGCTGGGAAGCGGGGCATGTGGAAAGGGGTAGGTAAACAACGTTCAAAGAGGTAAGCCGGAGGGTGTCTCCACACTGCACTGTCCACTTGCCAGGTCTGCGGTTGGGCCTCCTGGGAATAGTCCCTCAAAGTGGCACAAAGTCCTACAATGGCATGACCATCCTGCTGCCCTGGCAAGGGGTGTGGGCCAGGAGGGGCACAGCGTCAGGCTGCTTTCATCATTCATTATTCAGAGGCAATTTTCTCCCTGCACTGGCTAATTTCTCCCTGGCCCTGTCTGCAACAGGGTACGCAATAGAAAGTCTCCTGCCTAAATGTTTTATTCATTCTCTTGAATAAGGAAACAGGCTCTCTGATCAATACAGTGGCTGCTGTGTCCTGGTTGGTGGCAGGATTTCCAGCAGGTGCAGACTCCAGGCTCTCTGTGGCTCCGAAGGAGGTGTCTGACTCGGGAGGGCTGCCTCGAGGGCAGTAGATACTGTTGGCAACAGACCTTTCGTTTCCAAAGTTGATACCACATCCTGGTCTTTGAAAGAACTGAGTGTCCTGGGGAGCCGGAGGAAGGGTGGATCCTTTCCCCTATGTGCCACGGGACTGTGAATGACAGGCGGGCCGGGCCCTGCGTTGTGTGTCTGTGCTGCCTGTCAGGCCCGGCTCACTGGTACTGCAGATAGTTTTTGAGAGACTGAGGCAAGGGCAGGGAGCTGATGTCCCGCAGGCGCTGGCGGCCCAGGGCCGAGCGGACGGATCTCCGGCACAGGTCCATCAGTGGCAGGGGCTCCGCTGCAACGAGAGGGAAGCAGTTAGAATGTGCCCCGCGCCATCCTGGCACCTTCTCATCCCAGCCCCCGCTGCACGCCGCCTCCTGCCCGCTCCTCTGAGCTGACCTTCAGGGCCGATGGCTTCTCCTCTGAGAAGATTTCTCTGGTTACATAAGCTGAAAGCGTAGAGCAGTGTTCATCAGACCGTGGAATGCAACCAGTGAGACTAAAGAGTCACAAAATCAATTCAGTGGGTGGTGACCAGCAATAATTTTTTTTTAAAAAGAAGAGAAAATGGGAGCAATACCCATAGAAAGGATAAATGTTGTTTCATGAAAGCCTTGTCTCTGATGTAGGTGTTTAGTGTGTCTTAATGTGAAAAGGACTTCTTACTGCAGGCCATGATGGAAAATGTTTAAAAGCTGCTGGCCTTGGGTGGATCTGCAGAGGGGTTTCCTCTACAAACCAGTTAGATTCTGAGAGGCTGCCTGGAATGCCTGTGAACCCTGAAACTTCCCCTATAGCTTTCCCTGATGGTCAGCAGCAGGTTGCATTTTCTTCCAGCACCTAGCTCTGGAAAAATTTGTAAGTTAAAATCCATAAATAATGGAACCCCGGGACATAGGACCAGTTAAACCAAGTTTAACTAGGTCTATTGCAGACGCCTTTAGTAAGATCTTATTCTGGTCCAAGCCCTATGATTAGCCCTGGGGAAACAGGGATAACTAAGCTAACACCAGAGGCAGCTCTGAAAGAGGGTGGGGGTGGAGTGGGAGGTGGAGGCTCATGATCTGGGATTTTAAATACGTGAATCATTTTAATAGAGTGTAATATATGCAGTAATACCTAAATATACAGGTACAGAAACTGGGAATTTCTTACATAGAAGAGCTGTTTGAAAGCTTCAAAGAGAAGACATATGATGGGGTTTTGAAGAGTGAATAGGAGTGTTAAAGGCACATGAGGGTGGAGAAGGTATCCTAGGCAGAGAGAACAGGCAAAGGCAAAAGAGGAATAAAACAGGACAGGCTGGAAGTTTGTGGGGAGAGGAACAGCACTGATCAGTTAGCACCAGCTGGAAGGAAGATGATGATGGTGGTCACATGGCATCTGGTATGGTTTGTACAGGCCTGGTTTCCCCAATCCTACAGGCTGGAAGCCTGAACCTGCATCTTAATACTTTTTTTTGGTAATAGAATAAATGATATTTCATAAACATCCTATAATATACTAAGATACAATAAAACTGTTGAGTGGTGAATACTAACACAAGAACTGTGATAGGAATAGTACCATAGAGAAAGGCCCTCTACAGATCCACCCGAGGCCTGCAGCTTTCAAACATTTTTTATCACGACCTGCAGTGAGAAGTACTTTTTACATGGGAATGTAGTCAAGAGTCAAGAATATGTTTTACAGGAATTTTTATTTACCTGAGCTGCACAGTTAATAAGGGGAGCCATTAAAATGAAAGTGGGGCTCGGGGCACATGCTTTGGAAGCTGTGCACAAGAGTACATCCAGCTCTCCTTCACTTGAGGCCAGATCCCAAGGCTATCTGCAAGGAGCACTAGTGGCTTCAAACACTCACCTCTGTATCCTCTTTTTAAAACAATTATTTATTATTTTTATTGTATAATTCCACTTGTACAAAACCTCCAGAACAGTCAAATATGGAGACAGTATATTGATCCTCATAGAAAATGAGGCTGGACAGGAGAAGCCCAGCCATGCCCTATTTTCCAGGCCCAGAAGGCTGATTGCTCACCTCCAGTCACCCAATCACTGTGCCTAGGCCAACATTTGACAACCCTCCCTCAGGGTGTCCCCATCTCTCCTCCAGCAACACCCTTGTACCCAGTTCTCCCACTCCCTGTCCCCCATCTGGCATCAGGAAAACTGAGCTGTTAAAATTTCAAAATCATTGGCAGACCTTAAGAGATTTTCTTATCACTTTAACACCCTAGGCACATAACGTTCAAATGCTTAGCCTTGTCAGCAAACCCAACTCCTTGTGTGTTGCCTGCCCAATTAGCGGCTGAAGAGGACAGATGCCTTTTATCTTCATCTCTCTGCAGTCATTGAAATCAATCTAGAGTCTAAATTCCAAAGGGAGAAAGAAAAGGAGTTCAGAGTACGTTGCTAGCTCTAAATGTGAAATATAAATCATCTCTCCTCACTTCTGAGGGGAGAGTAAACTGACAATCCCAAAGTGCACAGAGAAAGTCCTTGAGTTCCTGCCCCCACTGTGGAACGTTAAGCGCTCAGAGAATGCCCAGCATTGGCTGTGCCCATTCCCTTGGCTCTTCTTTCTCACCTCCCCTGGCTTTGAGGCTTTTCTTAGAACTACCAAATGTCAAAGCTTGGAAATAATCACCTAGATAGGAAGTGAAGCACAGAATTTTCCAGTATGGGAACTATTCTTAGAACTATTTTTTGACCAAAGTTAAAACTGAAAAAGAATCACTATTCACAAAGGTGGATATCCAAATGGCCGATAAACATATGTAAAAGTGCTTAACTTCATGAATCATCAGGAAAGTAGAAATTAATACCATAACATGACTCTGCTACATACCAACAAGGAAGACTAAAATGATGATTTCCTCTTTCCTGTGATGCCTGAGACTGAAGTCTGGAGTGATGAAGACCTCTGATAGGATCTGCTTAGAAGTTGTCAAATATTTAGCCAAAATTCATACCCAGAGTTGACTGCACAGCCTGTCCTCCAATCCAAGTTTGCTCAAACAGCTGTGATGATTCCAAGATTGTCTATGCAGACTCAACTGATGAACAAATAAATGTCCCTGACACTGTTAGGAGCTATTAATTTGGTCTTTTCTAAAAATAGGCTTTTCTTCTACTTTTTATTGTCTACTTATATTTAATTTATATATTAATGTAAAAATAAGGACTCATATGTTTGTCTATTTCTAAATTTGTATTCAGTCTGTAACCCTCAGATGTAATTAACCTAATGAAAAGAAGCGGCAGGCCACTGCAAATTCTGTGAGTCAGGAAAAGAACTCTGGTGCTCTCTTGAAAGCGCCACCTCCTGGCTGGAGGCCAACCAACTCAGGACATTACAGCAACTCACGACAGAACAACCTTGCTCCATGGAAGAAGAAAACAGGAGTTAATTCCACTGCCTGCCAAATCCTGGCTAACCAGTGGTTCCCAAGTCTGTCCATATTACAACCTCACTGCTAGCATAACCAGCATTAGAGAAAGCCAGTACACTAAACATATCTATAACCAAAGACTCTCACAGAGTCTACTTCACTCCCCCGCTGCCTCCACCAGAGCAGGTGCTGGATCCATGGCTGGGAGACCTGAAGACAGATCACATCACAGGACTCCTTGCAAACATTTCCCAGCACCAGCCCAGAGCCTGGTAGCCCCGCTGCATGGTTAGACCCAGAAGAGCAATAACAATCTTTGCAGTCCAGCTCTCAGGTAGCCCCATCCCTAGGGGAAGCAGGGGAGCACCACATTAAGGTGGATAAAAATCCACCAAACAAGTATCTGCTGTCTTCAAGAGACTCACCTAGCACATAAGGACTCACATAAACTCAAGGTAAAGGGGGGAAGAGATATTCCATGCAAATGGAAATCAAAAGCAAGCAGGAGTAGCTGTTCTTATATCAGACAAAACAGGCTTTAAAGCAACAACAGTTTAAAAAGACAAAGATGGGGCCGGGCGCGGTGGCTCGGGCCTGTAATCCCAGCACTTTGGGAGGCCAAGGCTGGTGGATCCCAAGGTCAGGAGATCAAGACCATCCTGGCTAACATGGTGAAACTCCGTCTCTACTAAAAATACAAAAAATTAGCCGGGTGTGGTGGTGGGCACCTGTAGTACCAGCTACTCGGGAGGCTGAGGCAGGAGAATGGCGTGAACCCAGGAGGTGGAGCTTGCAGTGAGCCGAGATCACGCCACTGCTCTCCAGCCTGGGTGACAGAGTAGGACTCTGTCCCCCCCCAAAAAAAAAAAAAAAAAGACAAAGAGGGACATTATATCATAATAAAAGGATCAGTCCAGGAGAAAAATATCACAATCCTAAATATAAAGGCACCTGACACAGGTGCTCCCAAATTTATAAAACAATTATGACTAGACATAAGAAATGAGATAGACAACTACACAATAATAGTGGGGGACTTCAGTGCTCCACTGACAGCACTAGACAGTTCACCAAGACAGAGTCAACAAAGGAACAATGTAGTTCAACTATACCCTAGAACAAATGGACTTAACAAATATTTACAGAACATTCTACCCAACAACTGCAGAATATACATTCTTTTCTTCAGCACATGGAACATTCTCCAAGATAGACCATATGATAGGCCACAAAACAAGTCTCAATACATTTAAGAAAATCAAAATTATATCAAGTATCCTCTCAGACCACAGTGGAATAAAATTGGAAATTAACTCCAAAAGGAACCCCCAAAACTATACAAGTACATGAAAATTAAATAATCCGCTCCTGAATGATCTTTGGGTCAACAATGAGATCAAGATGGAAATGTGAAAATTCTTTGAATTGAACAATAATAGTGACACAACTTATAAAAACCTCCGGGATACAGTCAAAGCAGTGCTAAGAAGAAAGTTCATAGCATTAAATGCCTACATCAAAAAGCTGAAAGAACATGAACAATCTAAGGTCACACCTCAAGGAACTAGAGAAACAAGAACAAACTAAAGTCAAACTCAGCAGAAGAAAATAAATAACAAAGATCAGAGCAGAACTAAATGAAATTGAAACAAAAAATACAAAAGATAAATAAAACAAAAAGCAGGTTCTTTGAAAAGATAAACAAAACTGATAAACCATTAATGAGAATACCCAAGAAAAGACAAGAGAAGATCCAAACAAGTTCAATTAGAAACAAAACAGGAGATATTACAACTGATACCACAGAATACGAAAGAGCATTCAAGGGGATTATTAACACCTTTACACACACAAACTAGAAAATTTAAAGGAGATAGATAAATTTCTTGAAATATACAACC